CTGTACCACAAAAGGGACCCAGTCATGGCTTCACAGCTCTTCGCTGAGTGCTCGGTGCACAATCTACAACTTCCAGGGTTCTTGTAAACCGTCTAGTGTATTCCAATTCCAAGCATGCTTTCTGTATTTTACCTAAACAAGTAACAATTAAAGCCTCTCTTTACTGTTGGCAGGTATCAAATTCGTTAAAAATAGGGACTCTAGGGACATTTCTTGTATAAAACTGGGGACAAATCACTGGTTTTGTATAAATCTGCTGGGACAGGGGACACAGGGCTCAAAACTGGGACTGTCCCGGGTAAATAGTGACACCTGGTCACCATAATCATGTAGAGTGGGTTAACACAAACATTTTAAGACCAAAATGACGACTCTGTAGCGGTTACAGAGAGGGGCGACGTTTTTTTCAACACAAAGTGAATTGGAGCCAGAAACGAGCCCTGTGCTTAGTTCCAATTTGGAGCACAACGTTTAGCAAATTAGCCATGTCCATTTATATATACAGACTATGGGTTTTATGTTATACTGCAGAACTGACCCTCCACCAGAAAAGTTCCACAATGCACCTTTAAAGCTTATTCTGCGTCCATTTGCAATCAGTCTCTGAGCTCTCCGCCCTCCCTGCTGGTGTGTTGAGAAGTTTGTCTCTGGGTGTCACATAAGTGGGATGATGAGTACCGCGGTGAGAGCACCTCTTACATAAGGCCCCGTGTCTCCCTCTGACTCTGCCTGGGAGCGGGTGCTGTTGGCCCAATATGGACATGGCTCTCCCAGGCTGCGCTGCTCTGTTTACACTCAGTTCCACTCTGGAGCACAAACATGAGGAGGTGAGGAGACGGACCATACACCAGCAGATCACAACATCTTTATAATGGATGTATGCAGTTTTTTGTTTTAAGTACAGGCCCTATATTACGCAAAATTGACTCTTGTGAGCTTTATACCATGTTACAATGTTGTCAACTCCTCAAAAACAGACCTGGAGTTGTGTTTTGCTTCATTCACGCATGTTTGAGTAACTCTTTATTATTAGTTTGTTTACATCTCCAAAGCTCACAATGATCTGTTACACATTTTGATGTCATGAAGCGATTGTTTTGACGTTTTACCTTTTGTTTAGTCAATTCCAAGGCTGAAATCATCCAAATGATTCAAGTGAAGGTGTATCAAGTTTAAAAACCCAGTGGAGCACACAAAATGGAACAGCGTGTTTCTGTTTAAGAGGAGAAATTCGCTAAAATATGCAGAGTTTATGTGTTAAACATGCGTGAATGAAACAAAACACAACTCCAGATATGATTTTGATGAAGAAACATTATATCATAGAAAATTTGTATGTTTCTATGTGGGAAAAATACTTGACTTCAAAATAATACATTGTTCCATTACAAATCTATGGGTTTATCTCTGTGTAATTTTAGATATTTAACACAATAGAACAGGGACATTGTTGTTTAATCATAATTTAATGAAGAAACAACAATATAACAGCATATTATGGGCCTTTTAAAAAATTTTCTAAGTTAAAATTACTTCACTTCAAAATAATGTATTGTCCCATTAGAAATAGACGGGTTTATCTCTGTGCAATTTTAGATATTTAACACAATAGAACAGGGACATTGTTGTTTAATCATAATCACCTCCTACTTGTTTCCGTGGAAATGTTGTTAATTTGGCTATAATATTTCACAATATATCATAAACTCTATACTTGTCTCCATGGAGAATGTATGGTTTTAACTTTCTATTTGGTTTTAGTTTTCTATTTCCATGAATTATACAGTTGCAAATTCCACCCCCAGAAACTTAAGACTTCGACAAACTTTACTGATCCACAAGGGGAATTATTTAGCTGTTAAAAATTATTTTAAGTTAAAAATAGAAAGTTACATACTATCTCTTTAAGATTAAGAATATATGAGCAACTAAATTCTGAGAAACAAATCAGATGGAGCTTTATAATTCTAATGGGACAATATTTAAAAGGTGCACTATGCAACTTTTCCGATTGCGTTTCTGTCATGTGCTTGCCTCTTTTGAGATGTTATTACTTTACTAATCTATTTTGCACTTATTCAGTTACTTAAATCAGACGCTGAAGAAGACAGCTTACAAATAGGATATACCAGGGCCCTTTCCAGCGTCTCAAGGGCCCTTTACTTTGCCAGCATTCAGACATTACTTAACGATCAGCGGTTGTCAAACATTTTACAGCAAGTACCCTCTAAGAAAATATTTAGCCTTCTGAGTATCACCAGATCTAAACCAGGTCCATAACAGGACTGTGTCAGATCTAAACTAGACATAAACCAGGTCTAAAATAGGACTATGCCATTGGTACTTTAGGCCTAAACAGGGAATAGTCACATATGTGGATGTAATTGATAATAAGTTAACCCTAGACCAGAGTTCTGCACGGGTCCATTTAACCCGTGATTATATCAAGTTAAATCTGCACCCGCCTGGTGACGTTAACATTCCACCCATCACTCGCCCGTGCCCGTGCCCGTGCCCGTGATTAATCGGGATAGGCCATTAGTCCGATAGCCCAATAGTCCAGGACTAAACCTACGCCTTATCATTACACAGATTATAAATATATACATGCCGCAATCGCCAAGCCAATTGCTAGGACTACTAGGACTGGACCAGGACTACACCAGCAATAAACCAGGTCTAAACCAGGACTAAAACAGTGCCATTAGGATAAATATATACACGCACAACCACTGAGCCGATCACCAGTACTACACCAGGACTACACCAGGACTACACCAGGACTGGACAAGGTCTAAATCAGGACTAAACCCAGTCTAATCCCAGACTAAACCTGGAATAAACCCGGAGTAAACCCAGACCAAACCAGGAGCACAGCCACCAAGCTGATGGTTTTATGTAATAAAAACACTAAAGTCTCTCTCAGCCTAGTCCATCGTTCCAGAAAAAGACCAGAAATGGCACTTGTTTCCAGGGCAACAGACGTCCTGGACACCCATCAAGTATTTTTCTCCTGTTCATCGTTCATTTAATTCACCAGACCCGCCAGTATGTAATCACTACTTATTTCTTATTTTTTCTTATTTTATTTATTAGTAAAGGGACAGTACATATTAATGAACATTAAAAATGTAAATATGTAAAGACTATAGCCAACGTGGATAATTTTCATCTTCAGTCCCTCGGCAGGTTGATGTAAAATCATCTATAGGACGAGGAAAAGTACAGCAACAATCACACAAAAGTACACAACACCAGCACACTCACTACATACAATTAGTTTCAAACTGTTCATTTGAGGTTCAAAGTCAAAAGTTTAAGAGTTAAACCAAGAGTTAAACCAACAACCCCTCAAAATAAAAGAAAATATAAATTGGTTAAACATGGTGACATATTTGACCAGTGAACAACCATTGTTTTAAAGCTTTAGAAAATGCTGCCAATGTTGAAAGTTCTCGTATATGAGCAGGCGCTGTGTTCCATGTTTGAGCAGCTCGATAAGCAAAAGAGAGTTGTCCAAAAGTACTTTTTCCTAAAAGGCACAGAGATGAATTTCTTTTCACAAACTCCTTAGAGGAGGTGGAGCAAGATGATTAAAAACTTTTGTAAATTGTGTTGTCCCAATTTAGGAATTTGTATTTGTCAATTATTCTGGCTACCTGCCCGCATACCCGCTCGTAAAATACCAGAAAGTTAAAACCCGCCAGTTTTAGCAACTATTTGACCCGGTGCAGGACTCTGCCATAGACCTTAGTTTGAGAACCACTTCCATGACCCAGTCTATTTGACAAGCAACTACAGGACAACAGAGATCAAGTAATAAAAATAAAAAAAATCTCACTAAGTAAATGAAGCATGCTATAATGCATTAGCACTGTGTGTAGAAGTGTGATTGCAGAACAGGACATTTATTAGAAACATGGGCTGCTTTTGTCTGCTCTACTGCATCTGTTCAGACTTAAAGAGACAGATTTGATGAATTACATTTTATATTTCATAAAAGTGACATCACAATATCCGCAGACACAAAGTAGACATGTTCAAATCAACTATAGTTCTTACTGGTAACAATTGTAATATTGATTTCTTCTTAGTAACAAAACACTGGACATGATGGCCAACTTGTTTATGTGATAACAAGGCTTTGGTTCTCAAGAAAATTATCTAATCTCAAAGCAGAATAAGCCTCACTGAGTCTTTCATTTTGGGTTGCCAGTTTCAATAGAGCTGGGTACCATTAAGAAGTTGCCAATACGATACATACCTCGATACACAGATCACAATACCATACTTATCTCGATACAGGGCACTTTCGATTCGATACGACAGATTTCAAATTGATTCGATACAGTTCAATAAAAAATAAAGACTAAATCATGGCTGTGATACTAAAAGTTTTTGTTAAACCACTTCTTGTACAAAGTTCATATGAAACACAAACATTTAAATCATCAAAACTGTGAAAATGTCAAATGTTTTTCATAAATGATTCCTTCCTCTAAACAAGCAACAAAACTGTAGCACTGTAACAAAATAATTTAGTAAAATCTAATAAAAAATACTCTTATATTGATACAGCAGCCCACGATATCAATACTGTATCATCACATTACAGTATATAGGTACAGTATATTGATATTTTGATATTTTTGCACACCCCTAAGTTTTCAATGCTAAAATCGTAAAATAGTTGGTTTAAACCTAAAATGCCTCTCTCTGATCTGAATGGTCACTATCTAAACTTTAGCACAAGCAGACAATCATGAATCAGTGTTAGTGCGGGAGCGCAGAGAGGAAATTCTGGAGGTTCTGAGCTTCACATTGAGACTTCTCCATAAACTGAGGATGAGACAAACTTGTATCCTCTATACGCAACTAAATGCACTGATAACCCAGGTTCATTTGTGACTGTAGCACCAGTAAGAGGTCAGGCTACATACAGTTCCTTTAACACAGCCAAATGTCATCTGCCGCTTGTGTGTGTGTATGTCTCGTCTCACCTGCTCGTGGTACTCGATGCCCATGCTGAGGGTATTGACCAGGATGGCGATCATGATCCCTCTGTTGAAGTATTTACTCTCCACGATCCTTTTGAGTTTTTCCCTGAAGTCCCTCCAGGCCCGAAGCACACTGTTTTTGTACTCGCTCACCCCCCGCCGCCGCATTCGACCACGCACGCCCCGCAGGTCTCCCCCCTGTCGGGCACAAGCAATAGGATTTAACACAGAGCACAGCGAGGAGGGGAGATGCAATTAGCAGGTATCTGGATGTAGAGGTGAGTAGCCAGAAATTGTACAGAAGCAAGAGTAATGTTCAAAAAATGATATTACCGTATTTTTCGGACTATAACTCGCACTTTTTTTTCCATGGTTTGAATGGTCCTGTGACTTATACTCTGGTGCGACTTATATATTAAAATTTTCACACCGACAGACTCAAGAGGGCACTTGAGGCTTGTGTGCCAGTATCTGCTGCTCCTATTACTCCTGTACCACTGTCACTTGGCTCTACTGCGCATGTCTCCTGCAGAAAGAGCCTCTGTCCTGTCTGTATCATGTCAGTCGATCGTACCATTACTTCTGAACCACTGAAAATAGAAAATTTAAGTGACTTCAGTGACAACCTAGACCATCCTGTCGGGATTCAGAAAGGCTGGAATAATTCTAACTGAAAGTGATGCTGAGTCTGACGACAGCTACACAGAAGAGGAAGCGGCGCTCTGTTTACCTCCGGGTGTTGGGGAGTTGCTCAGAAGTGATGAAGAATTCAATGGATTTAGTGATTTGGAGTGAGATGGAGAGTTTGGTAAACTTGTTCTGTTGTTTGTGCTATAGTTTATCTGAAGAACTGTTCATATGTGACGTTAACAGTCTGTTGTTCTCTGTTCTATTGTTATTACTGTAACTTGTCTTTCAAAATGAAATGTCGGTTCCTGGTCTCTGATTTTATCAAATAAATTTCCCCAAAAAAGTGTGACTTATTATCCAGAGCAATTTATATATGTGTTTTTTCTTCTTCATTACACATTTTTTGGCTGGTGCGACTTACAGTCTGAAAAATACGGTACTTAAGAACTCAGTATTACTACGAATAATAATTGAGACTGTCTGGAGGTAATATCTGATTTAAATTTTGTAACTGGAAGGACAAAACAAGACTTACTCACAGTGGGAAGAGAAATCAAAGAGGTGATGTTAAACTGTCAAATATATTACTCAAGTAGGAGCAAAAATACAGTATGATGTCTGAAAAGACTCCAAGAAGTGCAAAAATCTTCAAAATATTACTCAGTGTAAAGTACTAAGAACTAAGGTAGTGGCAAAAGTATTCACTAAAACCCACCTGGACAAATAAGGAATCACACAGATACTACAATTACTCTTACTTGAGTAGTAGTTTCTTCAAATACTTTTTTACTCTCACTTGAGCAATATATTGAACTATTGGTGTGTACTTTTACATGTTATACAATCGTTGGCTCCTCACATCTGCAGGCTGGATGGTGGCGTCGTTAGCATAATGGACGTGACACTGACCTGGGGGTAGTCATGCAGAGCGTCTGGGTCCCCCTCCAGCTCCAGAGTGTCCAGACTGCGGGCGCACTGAGGACAGCTGAGCAGCTCCAGGAGCAGAGGGCTGGGCACCAGGCCGGCCAGCTGGTACAACAGCCTCTGACGACCTGCACGGGGGCAAAGGACACCACTCAAGATCTGTGTTCGACTTTTCTCGGAGGACTCTAGCTCGCTGTGACATAAGATGTTTATGTAAGTGGGACATGTCAATTATAAATCTCAGTCTTTGATCATTTTGAGACTCGTTTTGATGTCAGTGATTTGGGAATAGTGACGTTTTCATAATATCAAATTAAGTGTGTCATAGATTATTAGGGCAGTTGTCGACTAAAGAAATTCTGAAAATGCAGTGTGGTAAAAGCTCTCAAAACCTATTACGTATCTCTATGTATCTGACCCAAACTGCACTCACAGGACTATGACTGCACAGGAGTTCATGCAAAAACACTATTATTAGGGTGACCAGACGTCCCTATTTACTCGGGACAGTCCCAGTTTTAAGCCCTGTGTCCCCTGTCCCATCAGATTTATCCAAAACCAGTGATTTGTCCCAATTTTATACAAGAAATGTCCCTATTTTGGACCAATCTGATCCCTGCCAACAGTAAAGAGAGGCACACATTGTCATCTGTTTAGGTAGAATACAAAAAAGCTGCTTAAAAACGACCAAAACGGAAAGAAAATGTGACTGTACTGACTCTTTCTGCATAAAAATGTTCCTTAATTACGCACTCGTTTCACAATTTTACTATTACCAACCACCAAAATAACAGGAAGGTTCTAGTTTTTTATTTTGAAATTCTTTTCACCCTAACTATTATGCAACAAAAAACAAAAGAAAGAAACTTAGTACTATAGATTAACATTTACATTTTATGAAACTGAACTGTCTTAATTAGAAGAAAGAGTAATATGACATAAACAGACAAAGTAAGACAAAGTAAGGCAACTGAACAGTAATTGAGATCATTCATGGTTGCATCTACTCAGAGCTGAAAAGTAATTTGGCCTGGATACGGTTCAGTAAAAAATAAAAACAAAATCATGGCTGTGATACTAAAAGTTAATATGAAACACAAACATTTTAATCATCAAAACAATGAAAATGTCAAATGTGTCGCATAAATGAGTTTCCTTCCTCTGTACAAGCAACAAAACCATAGCATTGTAACAAAATAATTTGGTAAAATATACCAAAAAATCCTCTTGGTGATATATCATACAGCAGTCATTGATATCGATACTGTATCATCACATTAAACGATATGATATATCGATATTTATATTGTAGAACAGTGGTCCCCAGCCTTTTTTGTGCCATGGACTAGTTTTATATCAGATAATATTTTGCGGACCAGAGGGGGTTGGGGGGGATTTGAGGAGCATGGTTAAGTCCTGGCTAAATCCTCTTTTAGTCCTGGTTTTAGACCTGTTTTAGTCCTGTTTTAGACCTGTTTTAGTCCCTGTTTTAGTCCTGGTTTTAGATCTGTTTTAGTCCTGGTTTTAGATCTGTTTTAGTCCTGGTTTTAGATCTGTTTTAGCCCTGTTTTAGACCTGTTTTAGTCCTGTTTTAGACCTGTTTTAGTCCCTGTTTTAGTCCTGGTTTTAGATCTGTTTTAGTCCTGGTTTTAGATCTGTTTTAGTCCTGGTTTTAGATCTGTTTTAGTCCTGGTTTTAGACCTGTTTTAGTCCTGGTTTTAGATCTGTTTTAGTCCTGGTTTTAGATCTGTTTTAGTCCTGGTTTTAGACCTGTTTTAGTCCTGGTTTTAGATTGTTTTTAGTCCTGGTTTTAGACCTGTTTTAGTCCTGGTTTTAGATCTGTTTTAGTCCTGGTTTTAGACCTGTTTTAGTCCTGGTTTTAGATCTGTTTTAGTCCTGGTTTTAGACCTGTTTTAGTCCTGGTTTTAGATCTGTTTTAGTCCTGGTTTTAGATCTGTTTTAGTCCTGGTTTTAGATCTGTTTTAGTCCTGGTTTTAGACCTGTTTTAGTCCTGGTTTTAGATCTGTTTTAGTCCTGTTTTTAGATGTGTTTTAGTCCTGGTTTTACATCTGTTTTAGTCCTGTTTTTAGATCTGTTTTAGTCCTGTTTTTAGATCTGTTTTAGTCCTGCTTTTAGACCTGTTTTAGTCCTGGTTTAGACCTGGTGTAGTGATGAGATAGTTCTGGTGTAGTGCTGGTTTAGTTCTGGTTTAGTGGCGCAGACCACGCGGCGTACGGGATGGTCAGCGCAACATATGGAAGGGAGAACAGTCCGTGCGATGTACGGGAGGAAGGGAATGATCCGCGCGACGTACGGAAAGGGGGACAGTCCACGCGACGTACCGGAGGGGGGAACGGTCCTCTGACATATGGGAGGGGGGAATGGTCAGCGCAACGTACGGGAGGGGGAACGGTCCACGCGATGTACGGGAGGAAGGGAATGATCCGCGCAACGTACGGGAGGGGGAACGGTCTGTAGGGGACGGTCCACGCAGTGTAGGGAAGGGAGGGACGGTTGGACGGTCCATACAGCGTACGGGAGCGAGAGACGGTCCATGCGGCATATGGGAGGGAGGGTTTGCGCTTTCATACCAGTCCCCAGAACAGTCTCCATGAAAAGTTACAGCGCACCTTTAAAATCTAATTAATCACTTAGCATGACTTTTACTACGATTTAGTCATTCATATGTGGTCCTTAAACTTGTATTACCAAATTTAGTCACCCTCATGCTTTTACTGCATATAAAATTTACTGTATAAAGCTGGAGTTCATGTCAGGTTGTGGTTGTTGCTGTAATATAGGCCACCCAAAATAGTGGAGAGGATGGTGCAGGATATTGTAGTGTATTGTGGTGAGTACACTGTGTTGCTAATATTTCTGACACTTCATTCCACTGCAGCCTCTTAAACCAGGACAGAGAAACAAACCACAGCACAGCTCCAGCTCAGGTCGACCTGCACGCCGCTCACTAGTGGTATGCTGTGGCATGGCGTGAAAGGTGGACTTCGTAACTTTTCTGGTAGAATAATTTGTAATCTGCTTGTCGGAGATGATGGGGATGTTTTTGCCATGAAGGATCCACAGTATGGCTTAAAAAAACGTACTGTTTATGGCAAAAAATAAAACCATGATTATTTGGTTCCTACTTAAAATCACAAATATATCACACAATTACTCCTGGTTTACTCCTTTTTTAGTCCTGGTTTACTCCTGGTTTTAGACCTGTTTTAAACCTTTTTTTTTGGACCTGCTTTAGTCCTGGTTTAGTCCTGGTTCTGTCCTGGTTTAGTCCTGGTTCAGTCCTGGTTCAGTCCTCATTTAGTCCTCGTTCTAGTCCTGTTTTAGTCCTGGTTCTGTCCTGGTTCAGTCCAGGTTTAATCCTGATTCTGTCCTAGTTCAGTCCTGATTTAGTCCTTGTTCTGTCCTGGTTTAGTTCTGGTTTAGTTCTGGTTTAGTCCTGGTTTAGTCCTGGTTTAGTCTTTGTTCTGTCACGATTTAGTTCTGGTTCAGTCCTGGTTCAGTCCTTGTTCTGTCCTAGTTCAGTCGTGGTTCAGTCCCAGTTTAGTCCTGGTTTAGTCCTGTTATTAGTAAAGTAATGTCAACGTGGATTTGAAAACTTTTCTTACACAAATTCAGTTGGAGTTATGTAATAAAGTGCATTGGATTTTCGATTAAACATATTTGTAACTGAATGGAACTATAATTAAAAACACATTCGTACATTTGACTAATTGCACAGCTCTAATTAAAATCCACCAGGTCAAGTTAGGGTCAGATCTTTGGAGAGAAAACCCCGCTCACCGTAACAACAGACTCTGTGCACAAACTCACTGTAGCGTCACCACTTCCTGTGCATTTGTCACTCTAAAATGAATAAATATTTACAGATTTGGCAGTGGACAGAGTTGCAGGTGGATGTCACTGAAGCCATGTTAAAGACTAAACAAGTGTGCCTGTGTTTAGAAAGGGAAATGTTTGTGTCTCAATAATAACGCTAATGGTAATGTTGTGCTATAACAAAGCCGGGAGTGTGCCTATGTTCCCTCATTTCTAAGTTTTTTATTATTTTTTTCCCCCCAAAATGATGCCCTATGTTTCCTTTATCATCAATTTACATCAGAATTTATCCACATTTCTCCCAATTTGTTCATCAATTACACCCAACCTCTTATCCAGCAAAGGACCCTAGGTTGAAATGACTCTGAATCATTCCTTTCAATGCGGTATAAAAATAAAAATGACTTGATTTAGAGTTTCATTTTGAGAAAACTCTTAGAAATAAGGGAACATAGGCCTGACCCCATAATGCTGCATTCTGTTGTGCTCAGACCTGGAGAAAACTGACCTCCACCTCGAGAAAGTGCAATGGAGCGGCCAATCAAATCGTTGTGTTCCGAAACACGAACTCGGGTTAGTTCATCGCAGACGGAGTCAGTTTGATTTACGTCACAGCAAAAATGTCAGCACACACAGTAAACGGAGAGAACTGTCTTTTTGTCATTTTGATAATATGTTAAGTTGTGTATGCGTAGACAAAGCGTCTTCTAAAAACTTTGTAGTGACATTTAGACTTTCTTTGACATTAGACAGAAGTTTTTTTTCCTGAACATGTAGTAGTCAAACTGCCATAATTGAGTCTCTGAAAACTAATGTTGGCCAACATACTCGATTTATTAGCAGGAGCAAGAGACGTTACATTACACTTTCTCTGGCATCCATATTTTAACGGCTGTTGCAATCATAGACCGTGTATATGAGTGGACACAGCTAACGCACGAGCCACTGCATGCCAAATAGGAAGTTCACCAGGAGGCTCTTCCGGCTCCTTCTGACTCTGGCTCCTATTGACTTACATTAGTACCTTGTCACTCCTCTCTCTGTACACAGCAAAAACTGGAGGGTTAAAATTTTAGGGTAAAATATTTCAGAGTTTTTTTTAACACCAAAAGTGTTATTTTAACTATTTGAAAGTTAAATGGGGGTTTGAGTTGGAGATATTTGTCAGAGTTGATGTGGTTGAGGTTAATTCAACTTCCTCTAGTGTTAATTCAACTTCTCTTACTGTTAATTTGGCTCCTCCCATTCACCACTTCAAACTCTTGTGAGAGAAGACCAGTTTGAACCAGTT